AAAATACTACCCTTGCTCCAAACATGACAGTCAACAGACATTTCTTGAAATGCCTGACCTAGTTGCAGAAGGGTTGCTGTTTCCTGCACCACACATATATGGCATTTTGTTATTTCAATTGCTCCTTCAGTATAAAAGATTTCTTACCAAATTTCTCTAAAAAGGCAGCACTTTCTAACAGGTAATTTTGATGTCAAGTGTTGGTTCTTGGAGTAGAAGTATGACTATCACCACATCTCAAGAGTTATTTGACACCTCCTGAGTGAAATTTTTAATAGGACATTAATACTAGCCTGATATTGCAGAGTAGACTTGTGTAGACTTGTATAAAAAACAGAAAGTCCAGAGTTGGGCCAACCTTGTGGAACACCAGCTGGTACCCAGACTTGCACAGCTCTGAAATAAACAATACCTCAACCTAGTTTGTGCATTTGGCTTGTCACTCACCAGTTAACAAATCCAAATGTTTTATTGGACAACAGAAGCACAACATACATAACTCAAGCTCCTTTCTAATTGATTAAGCACACCCCAAATTGTGCAAGAATGAGAGCCTGTTCATTCTGGCCTGCAAAGATGAAGTGCAAAACCAGAACTGCAAGTTTTCAGCTTAATCTGCTGACATCTGATGGGCTCTCCCCCTATGAGAATCAGGCTTTGCAGATGAGAAAAGCTGGGAGGAGGGAAATCCACATATGCCTCCTCCTCCCTTGAATTCTCTGAATGCAGGAGCAGTGCTGGATCAGCTGCAAGCAGATGCAGGCAAAGATAAGAAAGTCTTCAACAGTACCTGCAGCACGTTCTGTCCGCAGCATAAAACCTGCCTTTGGGGTGGTGGGGCGGGATTTTGAAAGACTGTAGAAACCTTGTACGAGTTTAGATTTCAGGAAAGCACTTGAGCATATACTAACTGTCACTGAATTCAGCACAATCTTTTGCCGAGCCTTTCAAAGATTTGGGGAGGCTCCAGAACGTGCTCAAAATTAAGTATGCAGCTTAAATACATCAATGCAACAAGGCCTTAATTTTTGTGAAAAGCTACCTACACTCCAGAAATACCAACAATCCCTAAAACATTTACTCTGAATATTAAAAGGTTTCATAGTACCAGATTAAAAAATAAATACGCATGAATTATTTATTTCTGATTTTAAAGTATTCATAAACTACTGTAGCCACCCACCTAAGCAATAAGAATTCTCTATGTAAATAATTTAAATTTTAGAAATGGTTATAAGATGTGTGATGACTTGTTTGTGTGAGATCTGATGAGGGATCATTGTTAAGAGGGCATAACTGACAGCCATTACCTACACAGGGAAAACAGCTATTTGACCAGTTTCACATACTCACAGTCTGGAAGAAGTTCAGATGTTATGTCCCCATACTCAGGTGTCATTTATCCCCATCTGCATACATGTAAAAGCACACATATATATCTACAAATAAACACATCACTCTGTATAACTGTGCAGGCAGGCCAGTTTGCCTATTAGCACATTTTGACATGATGGATACTCTGAATCACTGGTAATATTGTCCTCCTTGATACAAGATTCACTTGGATATTGAATCTCTTGCCTGTTATTTTCTTTAATTTCTAAAACATATCTGTTGAGAATCCCTTCAGGATATACTTTTGAACTTCCTCTGTAAATGTGGAAAGAACTTCAAAGTTCTGTTAGTAATTTATGTATAGCATGATGGACTGGGGTCAGTTCACAACTGAATTCCCAAGGCAAGAAGATTAGATGATGGAAAAGACAATTTAATATAAAATGCCTCCTTGCTCAAAAGTTCACACAGAGGCAGGTCCTGCATGCCTTGTTCACGCAGGCAGTCCTCTTTGAAATCAGAGCCCTTATTGCCTTGTGGTTTTTATAGTCATTCACACCAAAGTGGATAAATGTTAAAGATGCCAGACCTCTAACCTAGCAGCAATTTATCACAGTGCACTCGCTGAACCTCTGATCAGACATGGTTCAACGGAGACAGTTTCCAGTTATAATGAGACAGTAGTTAGTGTAAGAGCAGCCCCAAAGCTAAGTTTGCCAGATGCCTGTGCAGCGTAACTACTGAAACATACTCTGTCTCTAGATCTGGGGTGATGTAGCAGCTGATGCACCACAGGGAGCACCTCCCACACCAGGCTCTATTTATCCACGGCACGGATTTACCCCCTGCAAATCTGGCCTGTCCATTCAATCTCTTGCAGCCAAATTGCATGACAGACCACTGAGAAAACAAGACAGAAAGGTTTCCGTAGCAAAAGGTCCTGTTGTTGTCTGAGGCAAGTGCAGAGCAGACCTGCTGGCATGGTGAATTCAGGCTGTCCATAAAGAGAATGCAGTTTGGGCTCTGTAATGCTCTGGTCTGCTGGTCACCCTGGAACCAATCATCAGGCAAGGGTAAGTTTTGCCCATGAATAGATAGTGGCATCTTCAGATTTTGCACTTTAAGACCTAAAAACAGTCATTTGGTAAGGCATATTTGTGGATAAAACTTGATACAGCATGTCATAGCTGATTTACCTGGCTCCAACTGCTATCCTGATGAAAATGTACTGTATGACATACACAGGTGTGCTGTCCTCTGCAACCACCTTCAGCTTCATCAGAAACATTTTTGGAGCTATACTAAAATTTTGATGAAATTTTTAATTACATTCCTAAAAGTATATTAAGATACCTAAATTGACTTGACAGAACTGAAAACCAGGCCAACTATTTAAAGTGTTAAATAAAATATTCAGAGAGAACACCTTCAAAACTGTAACCTGTTTCTTGTTTCCTACCTTCTGTTTTTAAGTATCCCTCCCATCAATATTTTTTGACTCCTTTTCTACCTTTATGTTTGTAGAACACCTAGCCAGTATTAACAGAAAAGGAGTCTACTCTGGAACAGTACAAAAATTTTAATATCAGTCATATGTAAGATGTTTGCCCTGGGATAAGAACTATGTACAAATTTTAACGCTGGCCCACACAAGCCGTTGAATTGGCTGAGTACAATGCAAGATACTACAGATGTAGGCAAAGAGGCATATACATATACTTGCCTATACACAGTGGCTGTAATATGTTTGAAAATTTTGTATAAAGAGTCTGATTTTGTCTAGAAGAACATCCTGTTACTAGTCATTTTCTTGAATTATCAAGATGATCATCAATGATGATTTTCTAACAATAATCACAGAATCATAGAATCATTAGGGTTGGAAAAGACCACGGTAAAAACATAGTGATTTAGTTATATAAAACTCGGATTTAATGCTGTAAATATTTATTTCTCTGTGTCATAATAGGCAGATAGGTAAGAGCATGTTAGTCTCTCATGCCATAATACAAGCCATGGAAATACTAACAGGCAAAAGAACTTTAAAGAGAGAATTATTAAAACTCATCCATAAATTTCATGTCTTCTATGGGCTTAAGACCTATCCTCTTAGATTTACATAGCTTTCTCTGATCTGCACTGTTTCTAACTGGAAGTGTCTCCAGCTTATTATTCAAAAAGATATTTGTGTGGAGTATAGAATGGGAAGAACAATTAGAAAACAGCTGCTGTTTAGCATTTGCTATAAAACTTCAAGATTCCTAGTAGGTGTTCTTTAGAAAAAGTCAATTAGTAATTTAGAGCAGAACAGAGCTCATCACAATTTCTGTCCTCAGTAGCACCAGGGGAGTTCTCCTTTGATTAGAATACTTGCAGTGGGGGCTTCCTTTGTATCTTTCATAATGGAGTTTACGTTAGAAAGGCACTTATTTAAAACACTACAAAACTCAGAGTGCCAATAGACAGTACTGTGTCTCTCATCTTTATCTCAAATGACACAGATAAAGTCTGTTGTTAAATTAGTCAGTGAGGAGGGAAGATAATCCCTAGCAGAGTGCCTGTTAGGCAGATCAAGGATGAAAGGATGTCTAAACACAGAGCTCACCTATGTAATTAATTATGCTCATGCAGAAGCAAGGAACCACCAGCGCAGTCCCTCAAGCCCAGAGTATTGATCTGTAGGAAACAAACTATATCCCATCTGGCAATCATCCAGGGATGATTCTTAGTGTCTTAGCTGGGCATCCAGGGGACCTGAAAAGCACAGTGAATATATACTGAATATATCCACAGACACTGCAGAGAGCAGTCCCCACTGGTGCCACCAGCACTGAATTCGTTTGGATTGCAAGCACTAGGACAGGTGCAATGGGCTGCCACTTGCTTTCAGATGAGATACGTTTGAAGGCACTTGCCATCCCCTATGTATTCCTCATACTTTATCAGGAGAAATCTAAGAATAAAACTGATTACACACTGTTGCTTGAGCAGCAGAGCAGAGTAATGCAACAACATGAAGGCTGACCTATATGGGCACTTTATTAAGTGAACAATCAAGATTTGTAGGCAAAAGATATTAGGCACACTGTGCTCCAAATTAGAGGCTGATAGAAAACAATACTAATTACAATCAATATATTAATCAAAATATTATAATATATATATTTTGATTTATATATTTATATTTTATATATATTTATATATTTGATTATATAATATATAATCAAAATATTAATCACTTAAGAGGGCTGCTTCCATACGTGTTAAAGACTACAGATTGTTTCATTTGTACTGATACAAGTACAGCCAGAGATGCTCTTCTAATTTCTTTTTGCTTTAAACAAAAAATGTGTTTAAATATGTGCAAAGGTATGATATATTACACCTCCTCCATGATCTAACACAGCGACAGTATGCACTCATGTTCAGAATATTTGTATTATCATACATCACAAGCTATTTCTGATTTTAAGATACTCAAATTCATCACAGTTGATCTCACCAAACTATTCTTGACTACAAGCTGTGATTTAAATCTTCCCACAGTTTCCTTTTGCAGCTTTATCAAGCTGATAAAACAGCAACACAGAATAGGACTGAGAGGCCTAGTGCAAAGCTGAGAGATTGCCCTGAAATTAAGGACACATGTTGTAGAGAAGACTCACCACCACGCTGGTTGCCTGTCCCAGGTGCCAGACACAGCAAGGATGTCTCTGCTGGTGCCCTCAGAAGAGATGGCTGTGCTCAGCACTGTGGGTAATGACCAGGCTCTTCCACAAATGCCTTACATCACCTCAGTGGTCTTTTGCACTGTTAGTTGTAAAGCCATGATATCATATATGGCTCCTAGATGGGATCCAATGAGTCATCTTAAGCTAGTGCCTTTAATTCATCTTAGGAAAGACAACAGAGGCTTACTTTTGGTGCTTATCTTCTTTGAGGTGCTTAATGTCCCACTGAAGCTATTTCAATCTTTTTCACTTTCCTGTTCAACACATCATGTGAAGCTGTAAGAGAAAATCATTAACTGACTTGGTATGCAATTAAATAACAGCTTTAATAAAATAGAGAGTGTTTAATTCCCAGCAGTTGTTACAGTGAATGTGGCATGAATTTTATTTGAGTTGTTGAATTTTTATTATTATAGATATGATATTGAAACAATAATTTGCTGTTGAATTTTGGGAGAGTGCTGGTATAACTATTATATTTGCAAATAAATTTATTTCTTACCACATTTAAAAGATACATTGAATAAGGTGTAGCCTATGGACTTTTAATTTGTTAGCTGTGCATACGTAAGCAGGAATATAACTGAAATGAAATATCTAAATAGCAAAGTTGTTCTTTTATTTATTTACAAGGCACTACTTATTTGTGCCTCGGATTTCATTTGCAAAGATATAATGGGGCAAATATAAATACTGACTGCCAGCTCTTCAGAAGATTGTTTGATATGAATGTATAATGTAAGGATTTAGCAATATCTGTCCATAGGATCTTTAAGGCACAATGAACCTTGGATGTTTTCTTTTGTTTGTAGCCTGAAGCTCCAACATTTTAAATGCTTAATTAGCAGCAATCAGGCATCAGTACAGCTCCAATCTAATTGAGGGGATGGGACAGCTCTCCAGTTTGGCAGCCACTGCCAAAAGCAGGAGAATGTGCTTCTCTAATACTCAGCAATTCATCTTTTTCTTCTATCAGAATTTTCATTGAAAATTGGACAAGTATTATCAGCTGAATAAAGTAACAGTTTGATACTTTGAGGAACTGGGAATTAACTAGCAGTCTTTATAAAATTATGTCATAGAAAACACTTAATATATTGTTCCTAACCATGTAACACTTTGGAAATGCTTCCATGCCACAGCACAAAATTGTTTTGCATGACTTAACTCCTGAAGATTAAAAAGAACCATGTTAACCATACTTCAGAAACAAATGAATATAGACTTTAGGAAAACAAGCTTGCCATGTTTTTTGATCTTCTCAGATTTAGGTTGCTTTCTAGTATCTCAACAATATTTTCCCCAGACAACATATAATTTTGCTTGTGAAGGAAATAAAAAGTCAAATTAGAAGTATGAATGGAAGGGATTATGTTTTCAGCTGCGTATCTTCTGATGTTTTTATATGCATTGCATTATTTCCATAGTTGAAGAAAGAGAATGCAGTAGCAGGAAACATAGATTTAATGAGAAGTGTCTGCATTGTGAAGAAAATTCACCAGTACTTCATCTTGATGAGGTGTAATTTCTTCATTTGTCATAGCTACTGGACACAAAGGCTAATACTGGTAGAAGAAGCTGAAAAAATGCATCCATTTTCAGGTAGAAATAGTCACCACTGAAGCAAACCAGTGAGTTCTACAACCATAAAAAAACAGCATGAGTCTGAATCCCCTTGGACTGTAAAGTGCTAAAAATTTATCTCCAATAACATAGCATGTTCAAAAAATGCTAGCCACATTATTCCAAAAATGTGTTTTCTTCCTCTGCTAAAATAAATGTTTTGTTGTTGTTGTTATTTATTTTTTTTCTTTCATTGTTCTTCCATTCAGAAACCCCATAATAATTTACCTGTTGGAAAATATTTTAGTAAACTACTGTTGGGGGCTAAGGTAATTGTAGATTTCTTTCAAAACAAAATGTAAAACAGGAGATTTAAAGGGAATTACAAAGCAGGCTTTTAGTAATTTACAAACTTTACATGGCTTTGCCCAGAAAATAAAACTGTCATTTAGATTTTTGTACCAGTCATCAGTTCTAAACACACTAGAAGTGCTTCAAGAGAGTGTCTCCATTTAACTGACCGTTATAAAAATTTATGGCAGCAGTGTCACATGTGAGATTTCCACTGATTAAGAAAGTTTTATGGCAGCATAACTAGAGAAAAATGGAACTGTATAAGCTGTAATCATAAATGTTGTCAGGACTGACAATCTTTTCAAGACTACTGGTTAAGTAAAATACCATTTTTTGTACATACTATTCTATACCAAAGCCCTATGACTCTCACTCAACACCCAACACATACGGTTGTCAACTTGTGGTATTATTGCCCTGGCTAAAATTCTTCTTTCCTTTCTCTGTTCTGATTTTTTTTTTTTTTTCCCACCACAGGAGGTGGTGGTGGTGGATAGATTTGCTTTGAATGATGGAAGAATCTTAGTAAACTTCCCCCACTGGAAAATGAAAAGAAAATAAAAAATCTGAAAAACATTGACTATTCCACCCTGTAATTCTTCCAAGTGCAGTTATGACAGGACTTTGTCTCCCTTTTTGTTTAAAACCAACCACACGAAGTAAAATTTGCCATGAAACAATCCAGAAGTACCTAACGGTGGTCTCAGGTTTAGAAAATATGTTATGTTATATAGTTTTATTTATACCATGAAGTGTTTGGGTTGCAAACAATCAATGCAGAGAAAGTATTTCTGGTAAATATCTCTAGCAAATTGTATAATTCTACTATAAAATATTATTTGTTTCACATCATTTTGTGCTGCGTTCATGATGCATCTCACAGCTGCTTGTACTTCATTATGTCATTTTCAGATTTTGCTGCTGTATATTGATGTGTGATTTGATATTAAGTACTGTAAAATAGGAGGCTGTAAAGTAAATTACATGAATATCAAATAAGAAGTAAGACATTAAAAAACACATTTATTGCCTCATCATGTGCTATGATATCCCAAAGAAGTACACCCAGCCTTGATGCTTGTCCTGCTTACTTTTCAGCATGCCTCTAAGCAAATTTTTATTAACACAAGTTTTTTCAGTAACCAAATGTTAATTACTTCTCAGCCACCTGTGAAACTGCCTTTTTTTCTTAAATGCATCACATTAAAATTACATTAAGGCAGATGTACTAGCTCTTAAAGTTACAATGCCCATGTTGAAGTATGGGCAGGACATAAAGCCCATCATTAAAAAAAAAAAAAAAGCTTTCAGAAATAAGATCACAATTCACTTTACCCAAGTACAAAATGTAGAAAGATGCTTAACCCAGTTTTTGAGCCTCTCTTTGTCCAACATAAACTAATCCTCTGAAATGAGAAAGCCTTGTAGTAGTACTGTCATTCAGCTTGCTGCATAGACTCAGTAGTCCAAACATATCACCAATTGCCCCAGCACCTTGCTCCAAAGGAATCCCACCTACAAACATGCTCAATTAAGGAGCTTAGATGAGTGAACCAGCACCTATTCCATATTTATGTGGGGTTACACTATCACCTCTTGTCATACAAGGAATGGAACTAGTAGGGCATCCTGGCTTCTGCAACTTTTTGCCTCAAGCACAATACATTCAGGAGAACACAAGGAGCAATGTAGCCTGCTTTATGGCTATCACAACCTGGATAACTTTTCAAATCAATTTGCAAGTTGATTAAAAAAAATAAGTTGTGTACAATAATCAGTTCTTTGAAGGGTTTGAATTCATATGAAAAATATATGAAGAACAAATTGAGAGTGAACATAAGCAAAGAAACTGCTTGCTGAGTGAAAACATTATCTTTGAATTAGCTCAAGATGGCTATGACTTTAATTTCATCTGTGACCTCTTTGTTTAATTTCCATTGCTCTGAAAGTGAGACAATGTAATTTTCTCATAATTTGGTTATTTAAGACCAACGTGTGACTTACTTCAGTGTCCACACAAGAAGGTAAGTAGTAATAAAAACTTGCTTTTAGTACATCTTAGATACAGAAATTACTGGGAGAGTGTTGCAAAGACGAACAATTTTGGAAGAATGATGGCTCCACCAGCAAGATGGCCCAAAAGATTCCCTATTCATACCGGAATGTAGTTAGTCATGATTGCCTTGAACTTACACGGAAATAAGGAGAGCTATGACTTTCTGCAACAAAGCTCCCTCCCACAAAAATTCATAGTCACCTAAGATTTGGCTTAAGCTTTTAGAAATTTATGAAGATGACAACATGCTGTAACAGACCTAGAGGTAAAGAGAGAAATAAAAAGGCCATTTTTATAAAGGTCAATTCTTCACAATAGATATATATATAATTGTATTTTTATGTTAGAATGCTGCATCTAACTTTCTCAGCAAAGTTTTGTAAGATCCCTCAGACTCCTCCTTTCTGTCATGCCCATACTTCAGAATGAAAGATATTTTTTTTTGATTTTTTTTTTTTTTTTGGAAGCTAAGTGAAAGAAGAGAGAGAAATTGTTTACAGACTAGGTGAAGGAAAAAGAGTGTAAGAAATGCCTACCAAGTATACCCCAAGCTGTAGGCTATTTGTGCTTGAAGGCAACTTAACTATTTTTGTCCTTTCTGGGAGGCTCCATCTCACAAATGCATTCAGAGCATACGACCAAGTAGCCAAAAGGCTAAAATGTGTTTCTGTCTTTTTCTATTTAGAAGCAACAAACACAGCAAGAGCCAACTTTAGAAGCCAAGTACTTATCTAAAACAATGAACAATGTGGTAAACAAAGCAGTCCTTGAAGAGGTGGAGGAGAATTGTCTCCAGATGTTCCAAAGCGCACACAAATGTAACACTGGATTTTTCTCTCCAAGAGCTGTCTCCAATGTTTTGCTGGAGTTTATACAAAGAATAAATAAATACAAGTTTTGTTACACTTGAGCAAGTAAAGTTGTACAAGATGGGAAATTAAGCACATGAAAGAAGTTTTATTCAAGAGCTGAAATTTCTGTTCAGCTTGCCTTTCTTGCATCTTTGTTTCCTTCTTATTCCCCAGCTCAGATATGGTGAAAAGTTGCTCAGATGGGCAGACAAGAATTGCTTAGACACACAGCACAGATTGAAATGGCAAACTGCCACATTCTTCAGCACAGAGGCCAAATACTATAATCCTACCAGGCCTAAATTGAACATTAGGCCAGTTTATAGGATAACAAAAGAGGGGCAAAACCAAAATCTTTTTGTCCACTAAGCTTACGTGTTGCACTAAGAACTAGGAGCTATCTTGCAAAGGACCGAAGGTCTTTGTCCTTTACACAAAGCTCACCCATCTGG